TGTGTTCCTAGCACTTCATATGTGTCAGTTTCTCTAATCCTCACCAAACTCCGTGAAGTGGGTATTATTTCCATTTTATAGACGGGAACAAATGAGGCACAGTGGGGTGGCCCTAGAATTTTTTTACAGTCAGGGTCTCACTCTGTTGCCCAGGCTAGAGTATAGTGGCATGAGCATAGCTCACTATAGTCTCCAATTCTTGGGCTCAAGGGATCCTCCTACCTCAGCCTCTTGAATAACTGGAACTATAGGCACATACTACCACACTTCGCACCTGGCTAATTTTACAAAATTGTTTTTGGCTGGTCCGATGGTAGTGGGTTATCAAAACTTATTAGCATTAGTGTCACTAAAGTTGGTATTTAACCCTCCAGTGCTAAATTTGATTGGCTTTTAAAAATTAAAAAAAAATTGTTTTTAAAATTTTTCTGTAGAGACACGGGGTCTTGCTATGTTGCTAAGTCTGGTCTCAAACTCCTGGCTTCAAGTGATTCTCCCACATCAGCCTCCCAAAGTGCTGGGATTACAGGCATGAGCTACCAAGCCTGGCCTCCCTCCTTCCTTTATCCTGCTTAGCCAGGATTCTGCTGTCTGCATCCCCTGACCCGTATCCCAGGGATAGAGCAGGAATAAGAAGACAGTCAACTAGCCTGCAAATTTCCAAATGCTTTGATTTTTTTTTTTTTTCTCCTAGTTAACAGCTATGTTTTTCTGGAATAACTTCAATTTGGTCAAGTATTATTTTTTAATATAGTGCTGAGCTTGGTCTGTGCATATTTTGCTTAATATTATTTGTATTTCTGTTTATCAGTGAGCTGGGTCTATAAATTTATTTTTCTTTTAGCCAGGTTTTATTATCAAGGTTATTCTAGTCTGATAAAATAATTTGGGGAATATATGCTTATTTTCAATTTTTTTAAATAGAACAGCTTGAGATATTGGTAGAACTTGTTATTAAAGCCGTCTTGGCCTGGCATTTTTTTTTTTTTTTAAGAATTTTTAACACATTATTCAGTTTCTTTAATGGCTTTAAGGTAGCTGTTATTTTCTTGAGTCAATTATATAGAAATTAAATTTTTTTTAGAGTTTTTTCATTTTGCCTAATTTTGAACTTACTGATATAAAATTTACAATGTCTGTATTGGTGTTTTGTGCACAATCATGTCAGTGACATGTAATAGTCAATATTTATTTCTTACTCTGTGGTTCAGTTAAAGTGGTTCTTTCTCAGGCCTTAGGTTAGCTGGAGTGGCTCTTAATTGGGCTACAAGTTAACCGGGGCAATTCTGTTTCAAGCTGCCTGTTCATTGAGGTGGCTTTGCCCAGGCTGTGTTTCAGCTGGGTTGACTTTGTTACATGTTTCATTTTGGGCCCATTCCAGAGGAGCAGTGGGCTGCCTCTGGGTGTTTTATTCTCTTGATGGCAAATGCACAAGAAGTCAAACTCAACTGCACAGTACATCTCAAGCTTCTATTTGCATCACATTGTGCACTGAAATCTTATACACCAAAAGCAACTTAGAAGGCCAAAGTTAAGGTTTAGGGAATATATTCTGCTTAACCACCATCAGGCTATGATAGGAATGTGCATGCTTACTAGTAAATTTAGATCATTTTTTTTAGGTGAAATATTTTATTCGTCTCTTGTGAAATATCATAAATTATTTAATGTTATCCAGTTTTGTAATTCTTAACAGTTAAAATATGCATGATTTGAATAGTTATTCTTAGCTTTATAAACTCAGTTCTTTTCAGCAATTTTATTCATGTACCTGTTGGATCAAGGGTGAATTTTCAGTTGCATATTGAGATCTAAGGAATTTAGTAGGTATCTGGTATTTCGACCAATTTGACTTTTAAGTGGTTGGTATTATACAAAATATGTGTTATTTCCTTATTGAATAATTGTCAGACACCTCCTGAAGGAAGTAGTCAAGAAGTACTAGAAATGGGAGTCCATCAGGATATCATCCAAAAGGAAAAAGTTCACATTCTAGTAGTGTAATACAATGCTTTTTGAGCTGTTATATCAAATATACAGGTTAAGATAGTTACATTCATTCAGCGGCTCTAAACCCTAACTTCACACTCTAATCACTTGGAGAGTTTTAAAAAATACATGCCATCACCTAGGTATATTCCTAGATGATTCCAATATGAAGCCTAGGTTAAGAGCCACTGCATTAGTAGATCAGTTTGGGGAGCAATTTTAATAAACTAGTATTACAGTAATTTTCAAACTATTGATATGTTCCTTTGAGATGTCACAGTGGCTGCTGCTTAGGGGAGGCAGAATGGGTAATGTTAACCATATGGGCAATTGTTTACCCATAGTAATTTGTCTATTTTATATGCAAGGATTCCATGTAACATTTCCTTTGTTAAAAAGATAGCCTTGGCCGGGTGTGGTGGCTCACGCCTGTAATCCTACCACTCTGGGAGGCCGAGGCGGGCGGATTGCTCGAGGTCAGGAGTTCAAAACCAGCCTGAGCAAGAGCGAGACCCCGTCTCTACTATAAATAGAAAGAAATTAATTGGCCAACTAATATATACAGAAAAAATTAGCCGGGCATGGTGGCACATGCCTGTAGTCCCAGCTACTTGGGAGGCTGAGGCAGGAGGATCCCTTGAGCCCAGGAGTTTGAGGTTGCTGTGAGCTAGGCTGACGCCATGGCACTCACTCTAGCCTGGGCAACAAAGCGAGACTCTGTCTCAAAAAAAAAAAGATAGCCTTGCTTTAAAAATTTTTGATTGTCATTGACTCATCTGGCTCTGAGAGAAGATGGTTAGATTCTCCTTAGTTTGCCAGTACTTTGGCAATCTAGTAATCTGAAAACTCTTTTGAATCAGAACACCTTTTAAATAGCACAGGTGAGTTTGCCAGGCAGTAAAGGAAATTCCCCATGGCAAAAACAAATTTAAAACCCAAAGCTGTTAGTTTAAATTGACTCTGGAGCTACTCTGAAAGAATTTGCCAGTCTAGGTAATGTATTAATTAGCTTATAGTGCTAACAAATCACCCTAAAACTTAGTGGCTTAAAAAGTTATTTATTTATCTAATAATTCCGTGTTGCAGTAATTTTGTCTGGATTTAGCTGGGCTCAGATGATCAGCTGATGATCTGGCTAGGCACTTGGAAATCTAGGATGGGACTGCTTGTCTCTGTTCTGCATTGTGTATCATCCTTCATCTGCTAACTTTGAATAATTCTTACAATTGTAGAGCAGGATTCCTAAAGATAGAGAGGGAAAGAGTGGAATGCCACTTGTGAGGCATAGACTCAGAACTAAGGCACTGTTGCTTCTTTTGCATTCTGTTGGCCAAAGCAAGCTGTAGATTAGTACCCAGATTTAGGACATGGGGATCCCCATGTTGGTGGCAACAGCTGTAAAAGTCATATTGTATAGGATATGGGTATAGGGAGAAGAATAATTTCAGCTATTTTTATAAAAAATATACTACAGATGGCAAAGAGGTTTTGGGGCAGGAGATGAAATCTAAGACCTGATAGACGTGAAAGTGAGACCTGAGATGCCATGTCTTCCCAATAAAACCATCTCATGGAAAGGGTACACAATGAAATATTTCCCTGCTGACATAAGGAGGCTTTTCTGTCCTTGGCCTGGTTCCAGATATGGAACTCCCCTGAGAATTTGTAACAACAGGGCTGTCCTAAAGTAGGTTTGGGGCTTGAGTTTGTACTTGAAAACCTCATAATCCAAGAAATTAATACAAAGTAGTTCAGGTTGGTGCATATACTTATTATCATTTACCTTATGAAAATGGTTTTTAATGGGGAAAAAACCCTTCTAGGGTTTTTCTAGTGATTGGGAAAAAAACCTAAAAATGGGTTAAAACATAGTCATTGAAATTTAAAATTCAGTGGATAAGTAAAACAGCAGGTTGGGCACACTGCTAAAAAGAAAAGTAGCGATTTGGTATATTCGGGGAAATTACTTATAAGAGCATGCAGACAAAAGAGAGAGTAAGAGACTGGTAGGATATATTGGGAAGGTTCAACATTTGTCTAATTCTATTCTAGAACAAGAGAGGAATGAATGGGAGAGAGATTATTTATAAAAATATTACTGGAGAATTTTCCAGACTTGATTGAAGACATAACATTAACCTTATACTGAGGAATACAAAACCTAAACCTGGATGATTACATTTAATCCATTCCTAAACATAGTGAAACATCAGAGGGAGTTAGATGAGTTTACTCAGTAGATTGGTGGGTTTTCTTCAGCTATGATTCTGTGGTTTCATAGTTTTGCCTGTACACAGTACCTCCAGAGGAGTCTGGGTACATATATTTAAGGATCAGTTTCCCCAGGAGAAAGGAAACATTGTTTCTGTTGTGCATTCAAGACCATAGTTCTTGGCTAGAAGGGCAGTGGGGCTTCCTTGGACAACATAGAAGCTACTCTGGTTCTGGATCATCTGTTATAAGGAATTTCAGTATAGATCTGGGTCTTTTTTAAATTATTATTATTATTTTTTTTTTTTGAGACAGAGTCTCACTTTGTTGCCCAGGCTAGAGTGAGTGCCATGGGGTCAGCCTAGCTCACAGCAACCTCAAACTCCTGGGCTCAAGCAATCCTCCTGCATCCTGAGTAACTGGGACTACAGGCATGCGCCACCATGCCCGGCTAATTTTTTGTATATGTATTAGTTGGTCAATTAATTTCTTTCTATTTTATAGGAGAGACGGGGGTCTCACTCTTGCTCAGGCTAGTTTCGAACTCCTGACCTCGAGCAATCCGCCTGTCTTGGCCTCCCAGAGTGCTAGGGTTACAGGTGTGAGCCACCACGCCTGGTGATCTGGGTCTTTTTAAATTTGGACATTTGTGGATATTTTCTGGACTATGCTTATGCAGCCTACCTGTGTGATATAGAATTCATTTAGTAGAGATTAGGACTATATTTGCTATGCTTTTCTCAATGTAAATTGTTTGGATGGTAACATTAAGTCTGAGGTTTTTTATCATTTTACTCTAGGCAGCACACTTCTGCTTTTGTTCCTTCATCAGGACGAATTTACTCTTTTGGGCTTGGTGGTAATGGACAGCTGGGAACTGGTTCAACAAGCAACAGGAAAAGTCCCTTCACTGTAAAAGGAAATTGGTTCCCTTATAATGGACAGTGTCTGCCAGATATTGGTAAGTTCTGTTGTATTAAAGCTTTGCTATACATGTTAAACTTGTTAAAATATTTCTCTTACATAATGAACTTTCTGGATTTGAAAGAATTCTAAGATATACTATTAAGTGAAAATAATAAAATATAGAACAATATATATGATTGCTTGGTTTGCTTATATTTACTTGTATGTGCAGAAGGAAATTCTGAGTAAATAAAGTAATAAAAGTAACTTTAGAGGATGGATTATATAGGCACTAAGTGGTGGCTAGATATCAGTGGGAGAAAGGTTTTTTTTTGTGGTAAAACATACATAAGAAAATTTGCAAATGTAAACATTTTTAAGTGTACAATTCAGTGGTGTTTTGTATATTCACATTGTTATGTAACCAATCTCTAGAACTCTTCATTTTGCAAAACTAAAAGCCTATCCCCATTAAACAACAACCCTCTATTCCTTCCTCCCCCTGGCCTTTGGCAAGCACCATTCTACTCTGTGACTTTAACTTGATTCAAAAAAAGAGAAAGAAATTGATACAGCCACCAACTGTGATCAGTCAGTAGCCATCAATATTGAGGCAAGATCCTCCACTGGCAAAAAGATTAGTACTTGATGAAGGTTCAGATGATTGTTAGCATTTTTTAACAGTAAAGTATTTTTAAATTAAGTTACATAGACTTTTCTTTTAGATGTAATGCTTTTGCACACTTAATAAACTATAGTATAGTGTAAGCATAACTTTTTATGAACAGAGAAACCAAAAATTCATATGACTTGCTTTATTGGTATATTCACTTTATTGCAGTGGTCTGTAACCAAACCCGAAATGTCTCCAAGGTATGCCTGTACCACATTTTGTTTATTCATTTGTTAGTAGACAGTTGGGTTGCATTATCTTTTGGCAATTGTGAATAATGCTGCTGTGAGCACGGGTGTCCAAGTATCATTGAGATACTGCTTTCAGTTCTTTGTGGTATATATGAGAGTTTTAAATTATACATTATTTTCTATTTTTATAAATTTGAACTATATGAATCAATACTTATTCAAAATATTAAAATTTTTAAATTTGCTTTTTATATCCTTGCTGCTTTAGCCAAACCTGTATTTATTTCAATTTATTTATTTTTTAAATTTTTTTGGAGTCAGGGTCTTGCTGTGCTGCCCAGGCTGGAAGTGTAGTGGCATGATGACAGTTCACTTTAACCTCTAACTCCTAGGCTCAAATGATCCTCCTGTCTCAGCCTCTCAAGTAGCTGGGACTCCAGACATGTACCACCACACCTGGCTAATTTTTCTTCTTTTTTTGGGGTAGAGACTGGGGTCTCACTGTGTTACCCAGGCTGGTCTTGCATTCCTGGGCTCGAGAGATCCTTCTGCCTCGACCTTCCATAGTGCTGGGATTACAAGTGTGAGCCACCATGTCTGGCCTTTATTTTATGTTCTATTATTTTTTTTTCATTGATATTAATTTACTAAAGAGTTTGAAATATTTGAATGCTGTTTTCTAATTCATTTTGTTGACATGATGAAACTAAGATGTTCTTTCTCTTTTTATATTTTACCATCCCTAAATATTCCTCAGAATTGTTTTCTCATTTATTTTATCTATTGGTGGAAACCAGAATCCTGGGTTTTCTGTAAAGTTATGCGAAACTTGAATCGTGTGTGTGTGCGCGCGCGTGCGCGTGCGTGCGTGTGCGCGCACATTGCATGTATTGTAGATTTTACCCGTTCACAATGATGAGCCTGAATCATCTATATAGGATGATCACTATAAAGGATGACATGTGCAAAGGTCCATAACTTTTTACTTTGAATAGCCTTGAGTAATTTTTTTATATTAAAAGACTTTTAGTTATTCTACTTTTTGGCAAAGGTCAGCATATGATATTACCATTTTTCTAATTTGAATTTGATTTTGTGCTTTTGTTTTTAAACTATGACTTAATTTTCTTTCAGTTACTCTTAGGTTTAGAGCATGCGTTTATTTTAGTCCTGTTATTTTTCTTGTGTCCTTAGGGACATGTTGGTGTTTCACCTTATTAGTTTCTTCCACAGAAGGTATTGTTAATAATGTAGTTAAGAGATTTTGTAATTTTAAGTGGTATGGCTACTATAAGGAATAATGTATTTCCATTTATAAAGTTGTGACTTAAGGATGCATTTTTTTTAATCTCCAGAACTACAGACTATGAGATTATTTGCATTAAAATGGGAAAGAAATTAGAACTTTAAAAATTGGTTTTGGCTCCAATTAAGGTTCATCAGAAAATTGTTGACACATAGTAGCCAAAATGTGGGAACAACCCAAGTGTCCATCAATAGGTGAATAGCTGAAAAAAAATGGTATACACATATAGTAGAATATTGTTCAGCCATAAAAAAGAATGAAATTCTCATACATGCTGCAGTATGGATCAACTTTGAGAACATGCTGAGTGAAAAAAGACAGACACAGAAGGACAAATATTATATGATTCCACTTATATGAGCTATGTAGAAGTCAGATTCATAGAGATAGAAAGTAGAATTGTGGTTACCAGTAGCTAGGGGTGAGGAGGGAAGGGAAGATTATTATTTAATGAGTTTCTGTTTTGGAGAATGGTTCTGGAAACGATTAGTGATTATGGTTGCAAAACATGATATATTTGATGCCACTGAATTATACATATAAAATAGTTAAAATGGTAAGTTTTATGTTATAAATATTTTACCACAATAAAAAAGTATAAAAATTGTTAATAATCCCTTTGCACTGTACTTGAGCTGTATAGGATAAAAACTAGTTAAATGTGAATTTAATTTACTGTTTTCAGCCCCTCCAGAGGTCAACCCACAGCCCCCACCATAAATCCTATTGTTATCATAAACTGTCTGGTGTGTCCAAGGCCATGAGTAAGCAAAGACTATTCCAGTGGTTTAGAGGTTATCTCCCTGGAGGCAAGCAAGGTGGGGGGAGGTACCATTCTTTAGAATGTGTAAAGTTTAAACAACTGAGTTAGTTTTGCTAGGGTTGCTGTAACAAACTACTACAAATTGGATGGCTTGAACAACACATTTATTGGTTTACAGTTTTGCAGGCTAGAAGTCCTAAATGAGAGTTGCTTTCTTCTGAAGGCTATAAGGGAGAATCTGTTACATGTCTCCTAGCTTCTGGTGGTTTATTGTCAGTCTTTGGCATTCTTTAGCTTGTAGATTTCTGCCTTCATTGTCACATAGTATTGTCTGTGTGTGTGTGTGTGTGTGTCTTTATCCAAATTTCTTCCTTCTATAAGGATACCAGTCATATTTATTGGGTTAGGGGCTCACCCTACTCTATTATGACCTTGAGTTAGCTAATTATATCTGCAATGACCTTATTTCCAAATAAGGACACACTTCTGAGTTAATGGAGATTAGGATTTCAACATATACATTTTGGGGAGACTCAATTCAACCCATAACAACACCCCAGACCTGCTGAGCAAATCCCTTGCTGCACAGAAAGTGTTGTAGGCATCACTTCCATGAATACAGTCATTCCTTAAATGACTCGTCATATCTGATTGAATAACCATCATTCTCAAATATGATGCTAAAGATAAGTCTTTGGTTGTATAATTGATTTGTTCAATTATATTCTGGTGAGAAAGGGAACAGATTCTTATTGAACCTATGCAAATAACTATATTACTAATAAAAGAAGGGAGACTTAGTAAGAGTTTGAATTCTCATTGAATTCTGGGCATCACTGAGAATCAGGTATCATTTTTAAATTTTCCTTTTAGTTTACCAAAGCAGAGTTTACAAAATAGTTTTGATAACTTTAGATGTTCAGATAACTTTAGAAAGGAGAAATGACCCCTTTATCCAGAAAGCAGAACATTAAAACAAAACTAAGCATTATTCCAGACAGATAACCACAATAAATTTTTCTTCATTAATTCATTCATTCTTATGTAATAAAGTTTTATTCTACTGGATCTTGGGTTAGCAGTTTTATGAAACTACACCTTAACAAGAAAGAGTATAAGAAATCCTAGTGTAGCTCACTGGTATGTTTTGACAATTATTTAGGAGGGATCTCCTCAGAAGCCTGTACCCAGGTGTCTGTCTTTGATATATAAGTTGTTTCAAGTACCATATGCAATCCTTTTCAGAGGGCTGAGAGACTTTCCATCTTTGTTTAAAACACAAACTCTGGCCTGTAGCTTATAGGAGAGTCTTTAGGAAAGCATCAGAGTAAACAAACTAATAGATAACAGAGACTTAAAATGACTATGGCTAACATTAGTGATAATTATTAAGTGGTATGATCTAATGAAGGTTCATATTAAGAATAATACTACTGACAGGGAAATTTGGTTGTTTCTGTGGTGTACAAAACGGATTATGCCAAAAATTAAATAAAATGTTTCTAAAGATAATTAAACCTATTTTCAAAGAACTTGGTAACTTTTAAATCTGATACATAAATATAGATGAGCATAACCTTTTATAGACCAGAAAATCTTGAGGTAAATAATATAATAATCCTCAGACCCAATATACCAGGAATATACCAAGAATATCAAGAGATTTAGTAAGTCTGGGATTGAATCTATACATACATATTTTTTATAAAACTCCATAGGTAACTCTGAAGTACAGCCCCCTTTGAGAACCACTGGCATAGAATATGTGAATTAGAGTAGTAAGGTTGTGCCAGAAAACATTTTAAATAATAACTGAAAGTAGGACTGGTCATACTATATTATTATTGTCTAATATTAGTCAAAATACCACCGTAACTTAGATAAATGTAGAAAAATTCGACAGCTATTTCATGAGAGTTGTATTTAACCAATGCATGTCCTTCCATATCCCTTAAATCTTCTTGGGATTACTTAACCTAAAACAGTGTAAGTGCTATATAAATTGTAGTTATGCTATATTGTTTTTTTATTGGTATTTTTTGTTGAATTTTTTATTTTCTCTTTTTTCTTTTTTTAATGGGCACAGCTGCATGGATCTTTTTTTTTTTTTATTTTGGCATATTATGGGGGTACAGATTTTAAGGTTTCAATAAATGCCCATTCCCCCCCCAAAAGTCTGAGTCTCCATCGTGACCATCCCCCAGATGGTGCACATCTCACTCATTATGTATGTATATATCTGCCCCCCTCCCCCCTCCCACCTGGCCAATACCCTATTACTGTAGTACCTATGTGTCCACTTAGGTGCTACTCAGTTAATACCAGTTTGCTGGAGAATATATCTGGTGCTTGTTTTTCCATTCTTGGGATACTTCACTTAGTAGTATGGGTTCCAGCTCTAACCAGGAAAATATCTATATCACCATTGTTTCTTAGAGCTGAATAGTACTCCATGGTATACATATACCCCATTTTATTAATCCATTCTTGGATGGATGGGCACTTGGGCTGTTTCCACAGCCTTGCAATTATGAATTGTGCTGCTAGAAACATTCGAGTCCAGGTGTCTTTTTTGTAGAGTGTCATTGGATCATTTGGGTAGATGCCCAGCAATGGGATTGCTGGATCAAATGGTAGATTCACTTGTATCGCTTTAAGGTATCTCCATATTGCTTTCCACAGAGGTTGAACTAGTTTGCAGTCCCACCAGCAGTGTAGGAGTGTTCCTCTCTCTCTGCATCCACGCCAGCATTTATTGTTTGGAGATTTTTTGATAAAGGCCATTCTCACTGGGGTTAAGTGATATCTCATTGTGGTTTTGATTTGCATTTCCCTGATGATTAGAGATGTTGAGCATTTTTTCATATGTTTGTTGGCAATTCTTGTGTCTTCTTTAGAGAAGTTTCTGTTCAAGTCCTTTGCCCACTTTTTAATGGGGTTATTTGATTTTTTCTTGCTGATTTTCGTGAGTTCTAAGTATATTCTAGTTATCAGTCCCTTATCGGATGCATAGGATGCAAAAATTTTCTCCCATTCCGTAGGTTGTCTGTTTACTTTCATGACTATTTCTTTGGCTGTGCAGAAGCTTTGTAGTTTGATCATGTCCCATTTATTTATTTTTGTTGCTGCTGTGATTGCCTTTGGGGACTTCTTCATAAACTCTTTGCCCAGGCCGATGTCTAGGAGAGTGTTTCCAACTTTTTCCTCTAGAGTTCTAATAGTTTCATACCTTAGGTTTAAGTCTGTTATCCAGTGTGAGTTGGTTTTTGTGAGAGGTGAAAGGTATGGGTCCTGTTTTAGCCTTCTACAGGTGGCTATCCAGTTTTCTCAGCACCATTTATTGAAAAGGGATTCTTTTCCCCAGCGTATGTTTTTGTGTGCTTTGTCAAAGATGAGATGGCTATATGAGGATGGTTTTATATCAGGATTCTCACATCTGTTCCACTGGTCAATATTCCTATTTTTGTGCCAATACCATATTGTTTTAATGACTACAGCTTTGTAGTATAGTTTGATATCTGGCATATTAATGCCTCCCATTTTGTTTTTGTTGCCTAGAATTGCTCTTGATATTCGGGGTCTTCTTTGGTTCCATACGAAGCGTAAAATTATTTTTTCTATATCTGTGAAGAATGCTGATGGGATTTTAATAGGTATTGCATTGAATCTGTAGATCAGTTTGGGTAGTATAGACATTTTGATGATATTGAGTCTGCCGATCCACGAGCATGGTATGGATTTCCATCTGTTTACATCCTCTGCTATTTCCTTCCTCAGTGTTTCATAGTTCTCCCTGTAGAGGTCTTTTACGTCCTTGGTTAAGTATATTCCTAGGTACTTTAATTTCTTTGTTGCTATTGTGAAGGGAATTGAGTCTTTGATTTGGTTCTCAATTAGATTGTTGTTGGTGTATATGAATGTCTCTGATTTCTGTGTATTGATTTTGTATCCTGAGACTTTGCAATTTTTTATTTTTTAAATATTTTCCATCCATCATTGGTTGAATCTGCAGATGTGGAACCCTCTAATACAGAGGGCTGACTGTATTTTTTCCTCTTTTTATAAGAGTCTTATCGGATTGAGGGTCTCACCTTATGGTCTCATATTAATAATCACCTCTTTAAAGACCTTGTCTCCAAATACAATCACATTTCTGAAGTGTATTGGAAGTTAGAGCCTCAAACATGAGTTTTTTGGGGCACAACAATTCAGCCCATCATAGGAAAGCAAAAATAAGTATGAAAGGGAATTTGAATACATCATTAAGATATGATCATGGTGCTTAAGTTCTAATACATTAAGTATTAATGATTTTAATCCACATAAATGGAAGCTTTTTGGGGTCCTGAATAAACCTTAAGAGTGGAAAGGGGTTCAGAGACTATCCAAATTACTTTTTCCTTGTAAAACAAAAAGCATGTACAGACTTATATCGCTGTCACTATATTGTTCCTAAGTAGAAGTACAATTTACAGAATTGTAAATACCTCAAAGACAGTGAAAGGTGGAGATAATTCTTTGCCCTAATCAAGACTCTGGTTTTTTTTGTTTGTTTGTTTATTTCAAGGTCTTCACAATTTTCCTTGATAATGTATTTTGTAAAGAATAAGAAAGTGAATTTAGGCCTTCCAGATGTGACATTATTAGCTATAAAACTGTATATACATAGACATTTAGATAATTTTAATATAATGGAGAAAGTTCAGGGGGGAAAAAATCCTTATATAGGTATTAGATATAGGTTTTGTTTCAAGTTCAAACTTCAGTTGCTTGGTAATGGCTGCTGCAAGTGTTAAGAGGGATTTTTAGGACACTTTGGGATAAAGAGTGCTAAAATTGTTTAGTGTGTGTGGTATAGGTGAGAGAGGTAGTGCCTTTTCATAAATATTAAAACAAGGTTTGGCTAATCTGTAGAGAAGGGGGAAGAATTACCATACAAAATCGGAGACAGAAAGGTCAGTTTAGATCTTAACCTCATAATATACTAAAATAAATTACAGATGGATTAAAAAGTAAAAAGTTAAGAAAGTATTTCTGTGATATGAAGTTAGGAAAAGCCTTTCTCAGCATAAATGCAATGAGAATTGTCATAAAGAATTAGATAAATATAATTGACTAAATGGAATAGTGAATGTTCTGTGAGTTAAAATTAAGCAAACAATTATTTGGAAAAAATATTTGTAGGAATTACAACCTAAAGTTAGTATCCTGAATATCTAGAGTGCTCATACATATTGATGAGAAAAACAGTAAGATACCTAACAGATAAATAAGATAAATATAAAGGTATCTGATAGAATAAAGGAAATTATTAGAAATTTCCCAAAGAGGAAATTGATGTTTATAAGAAACATGCAAAAATTATTACCCTCTTTCATATAAAAGAAATGCAAATTTAAAAAGCCAGAAAGATAGTAAACAAATGTAAAAGATCAAGCATTAGTCCTCCCTTTATTGTATAGGGTAACTGTAGTATATAGGGGGAAGCTAATGGTCCAGCCATAATATGAAGAAGTAATGCTAGCATGTCACCATTTTCAACCCAAAATGAATTAATTGTCTAAGCATTGAGCATCAGTGCTTGCTAGTGTCATAAAAAGGAACTCAACCAAAATTCTTCTCAAAGGAATTATGTTTCCTGATGGAAAAACACCCCTTGCCCCATGTAGTAGTTTTACTGAAAGAAATCAAACCGTGATTGAAGCTTCTCTAGAGTCAACTACCAATTTATAGAACATACAGAAGACCAAGCAGATGTGAAGAGAAACCTAAAAAGGAAACACAGCCAGGCGCGGTGGCTCACGCCTGTAATCCTAGCACTCTGGGAGGCCGAGGCGGGCGGATTGCTCAAGGTCAGGAGTTCAAAACCAGCCTGAGCAAGAGCGAGACCCTGTCTCTACTATAAATAGAAAGAAATCAATTGGCCAACTAATATATATAGAAAAAAATTAGCCGGCCATGGTGGTGCATGCCTGTAGTTCCAGCTACTTGGGAGGCTCAGGCAGTAGGATTTTGAGGTTGTTGTGAGCTAGGCTGACGCCACGGCACTCACTCTAGCCTGGGCAACAAAGCAAGACTCTGTCTCAAAAAAAAAAAAAAAAAGGAAACAGGAAGCTGTACAGAACAAGTGACTAGGTTTCTCATACTTTTTGGAGTAGTAATTAAAAGGAAATGAAGGAAACTTAACTTTTGGTACCTAACTCATAGCCTCCAAAAGCCCATTCTTGTACTGTAGATTAGTCATCAATCTTCTGGGGCATTATTTATGGAGGGCAAAATCATATTTTAGAAATAAATGAATAACATCTTGCTAAATCTTTTGAGGAAATGAAGTTCATGTAGACTTATGATAATGATGCGGAAAAAAGATTTTAAGTTGAATGATCACCTTATTTAATTAATACAGTTTTACCCTTTTAATGTGTTCTTAAAGGTTGTTTTTGGCCTTAGCATTTTTGGGACTTGTGGAAAATTTTACTATATTAATGTTCTGAATTCTGAAGCTTTTATTATTGATATGTTCTAAGCTAGATAATGTTTATATTGTATATTCATATTGAGAAATATTTACTGAATTTTTTTTACAAATAAAACATTGTGCTAGTAGGGAATAATTGAAGGAATTAAGATGTGGTCTTTTCCTTGAAAAGAATTTATAATTCTGTAGCAGCCATGGTCACAAATAACATAAGGTGAAGAATTAGTCCATCAAGGGGAAGGGGTTGAAAGTAGGATAACAGATCTGATATAAATCTTATATTTTAATTTTTCACATTTTATTTTTATTGCAGATTCTGAAGAATATTTCTGTGTAAAAAGAATTTTCTCAGGGGGAGATCAAAGCTTTTCACATTACTCTAGTCCCCAGGTAATAATACAGTCATATAAATAAGTACTTAGCTCCAATAATTTTGAGGACTTTTTATTTATTTTGTTTTATTTGTTTCTTAGAGATGGGATCTTGCTTTATTACCCAGGCTAGAGTGCAGTGATGAGATCATAGTTCACTGCAGCCTCAAACTGCTGGGCTCAAGCAATCCTTCTTTCTCAGCCTTCTGAGTAGCTAGGACTATAGGCATGTACCACCATGCCTGGCTAATTTGGGGTCTCAGTGTGTTGTCCAGGCTTTTCTTGAACTCCTGGCCTCAAGTGATCCTCCCACCTCAGCCTCCCAGAGTGCTGGGATTACAGAGCTGAGCCACCATGCCTGGCCTTGATGAATATTTAAAACCCATATTAATGTTCTGTATATGTTATAGAGTAATTGCCTCAAATCTTTTACCCTCTAGTCTACGTATTTTTCTGACCTATTTGGTCAGTTTTTGTTTCAGGTGTTTAGTAGAGATTTACTTCTGTTTAAAAAAACAAATACATAATGGGGAGTTCTTGGTTTTGAGTTACATACAGTATCTCAGCCCTCTGACCTTCTCCTTATTTTAAAATTTAGAACTGTGGACCACCAGATGATTTTCGATATCCTGATCCCTCAAAGCAGATCTGGACAGTGAATGAAACTCTAATTCAAAAATGGCTGAGCTACCCTTCTGGAAGATTTCCTGTGGAGATAGCCAAGTAAGAAAAATATTTTGCCAACACAAAGACTAATACAACCTCTCAACCCCATGGTAGAGCAATCTTTATGTGGGAGTTTTCACTTAAATATATATTTTCATTTAATATCACTCACTGAATGGTTTATATATAAAATATTTAAATGTCTAGAATTTCCATAATGATATTTTAAAAGATCTTATTTAAATTTATGCAAGTCTTTTCATATAATAAGATATTTTAAGTGATAATATTAAATATAGCATTTAGTATTGGGTTTGAAAAGTATTTTTTTTTGGCTTCAATAATGGTCACTATCTTAACTTTTATACTCCCTAGAAGACTTAAATATTACTTTTTCTTAGATATTTTGCTTATAGATTAGCTTGTCCAGTACTTATAATTTTGTTTGTTTGTTTGTTTGTTTTTGTTGGTGTTGGTATTTAACATGAGGGGTTGTATTTGATAAGCAGTTTTGTTATTCTATTTTTTTTTTAGATTGTGTCTCACTCTGTCACCCTAGCTAGAGTGCAATGGCGTCAGCTTAGCTCACAGCAACCTCCAACTCCTAGGCTCAAGCGATCCTCCTGCCTCAGCCTCCCAAGTAACTGGGTCTACAGGCATGTGCCACCATGCTTGGCTAATTTTTTTTTTATATGTGTGTGTGTATATATATATTTAGTTAGCCAATTAATTTGTTTCTATTTATAGTAGAGACAGGGTCTCGCTCTTGCTCAGGCTGGTCTTGAACTCCTGACCTTGAGCAATCCAGCCACCTTGGCCTCCCAGAGTGCTAGGATTACAGGCGTGAGCCACCCATGGCCGACCTTGTTGTTCTAGATTGTTTTCCCAAATGAAAATTTTTCTGAAAATCCCAGAAAGTAGGCTTCAAAAAATAACATCCCAGATTAGGCTCACTACCATGTGGAATTTAAAAAGTTAAACATTCATGCTTATGTTAAAATTTTTTTTTAAGGGTGACACATTCATTTCTTAAATCAGAGGATGAAAGTAATATTTAAGACATATTACTTTCTCAGGAATACTTTCATCAAGTATTATTTAATCAATCTTTAATAATTTAAATTCTAATTTATTCTAATTATGTATTGGTTAGAGGAGTGCTCTAGCATTAAATATTAGATTAAATATTTATTTTAATTTTTTAAAAAAGAAAGGTAAACAGTTAAGTTTTTCATTTTGTGATTTAAATTAAAAAAATTTTTTTAAATTTCTTTTTAGTGAGATAGATGGAACATTTTCTTCCTCTGGTTGCCTAAATGGAAGTTTTCTAGCTGTTAGGTAAGTGGCAATTCCTTGATATACTGAAATTTTCAAATTTATTATATTAAAATAATATATCAAATAGGAAATGAAATAATTTTAATATTTTCTTTTTTTTTAAAGCAATGATGATCACTATAGAACAGGCACCAGATTTTCAGGGGTTGATATGAATACTGCTAGGCTTTTGTTCCACAAACTTATACAACCTGATCATCCACAGATATCTCAGCAGGTTTGTTTTTTAAGTATTTTATATTTACATTATTATCTGTTGAGTGTTTTGTTAAATGTTTTATAAGTTTATAGCTTAATCAAATTTTCAGTTTCACAGACTCTTCATTATGATGTAATTTGGGATAGTTGTATTAAATACACTAATAAATAATTAAAATAAGGTGTTTTTTTAAAGCATTCATAATTTCGCTTTCAAAAGTCCATAAATCTTTTCAGATGTTTGTAGCAGACTCTGAATTACTTAACATTACCATGTTGGTTAAATCTGCATATAGAGGTAGAGAGTTTAAATTGAGACTTGCACACAAGATTTTTTGAGTTTTCTTAGCAATGCTTTTAGGCATTACTTTTCATTGTGTTCCAGAATATATTAATTGTAAGAGATTGTCTTTTTTTTCCTTCACCATTTCATGTTTGCTGTAGTACAAGAGTTTTTCTTTCTTTTCTTCCTTTCTTTCTTTTTTTTTTGTTCTGAAAGTGCATTCATTTTAAATGAAGTAGGTTTTACTTTTTGTCAAAATATAGGTGGCAGCTAGTTTGGAAAAGAATCTTATTCCTAAACTGACTAGCTCCTTACCTGATGTTGAAGCATTGAGGTTTTATCTTACTCTACCAGAATGTCCCCTGATGAGTGATTCCAACAATTTCACAACAATAGCAATTCCTTTTGGTACAGCTCTTGTGAACCTAGAAAAGGCACCACTGAAAGTACTTGGTAAGAATTTTAATATTTTCTTTCAAAGCTTTTTAGATGAAAATACTCATAAGTTCTTATGTTTTTGCTGTTTGAAATTTTGCTGCCCTGCTTATTTGATATTGTCTTAGGGAAAAATAAATCTGTTTTTCTTTGCTTTCCTCTAGTCATTTGATTCTAGTTGGTGGAGTTGTTGAAGGCAAAGCACGTTAGATATAGAAGTTTAATCAACATAACAGCAGAGACAATATTAGGAAAGATAAGCTATCAGTCCAATTCTTCTCCCTCATTGCCTTCAGAGTAATCTTGCTATTAAAGGAGGAGGAACAATTAAAACTGAACAAACATGGGTTTTAAATCTTCCTTTGACCCTGATATCAACCTTTTCCTTGTTTCCTTGCTGATTTTCTGATGTTTGGTTTTATTTCTCTGCCTATAGATGAGATTTTACTGCTCATCTGATCTTGCAGTTCTGTCTCTATTGCTCTGTTTTTTTGTCCTAAACTTTTCTCACCTAAATTTTTCTAATTGTATGGATTTCATCTCTGTAGTTTGCTTGCTATTTTCCTTTATAAAAGTATTTATTGGATATGTGGAGCTAAGATATATAGAAGTAATAAAATTACTACAAGAACTGTAAGGCTGAGGGTGAGTAGAGGAAGCAACAGCAGGGGTAGAATGCTGGAATCTGAGGGAAATGGAAGAGTGAAGCAGGGACTTAAAAGAGTATTGCTTCCTTCTTGTCGGACATTTTTGTAGTCTTTCTACCTGCTTCATAGGATTATAGTGTTTGTTTGCAACAAATAGTGAATGTGGGGAAGGAAAGATGTATTATACTTTATTATTCAGCTTCTGTATTTGAAGCTTGCATTTTAAAGGTGGTGCTTCACAGTATTTCACCTATATATTAAATTGAAAGATACAACTTGGAATAATCCTTAACTATTAGAGCAGAACAGTTTTAAAATGTGATTTGTTTGAAAATTAAAAGTTCTAATTTCTAAAACATTTTTAAATAACTTGTTTTAATATTAGGTATAATGGTCAATTTTTAATATAATTTAGGATGCCAAGAATATAAATTCAATAGACCTTTCATACTTTATTTTTGCTTTGAGAGCTTTTAGGACAGTATTCTTTAACTTGGTCTAGGGGTTAGTGGGGGTCTGTAAACCCTAGAAATGTTACATAAAATATTAATGTGCATCTTTCTGGGATTTTTCAAAAGGTTAAGAACCACTGCTTTAGAAGAAAAGTTAGTAAAATTTTGAAAATTGTGATTTTTTTAAAAATTCATTTTATTTGCATGTTCACCCTTTAATAACAGAAAACTGGTGGTCAGTACTTGAACCTCCACTATTCCTCAAGATAGTAGAACTTTTTAAGGAAGTTGTGGTACATCTTTTGAAACTCTACAAGATCGGCATTCCCCCTGCTGAAAGAAGAATTTTCAACAATTTTCTTCATACTGCATTAAAGGTTTTAGAAATATTACATAGGGTATGTCTAATAGTTTATTTTCCTCTTTCCGCATTCCTACTAACAGATTGATAATGTTCATTTTAACATTAATGTATTACAAATTGAGATTGGCATAAGAGATATATATTACAGAAAGTTGGAAACGTTATCTATACTTTCCTTTAAGAAGTAATATACTTTGGAGTTTTGGTCTTACTTGATTTTTCTAGGCATTTATAGATAACTTGTCAATAGTTGGGAAGAACAATAGCATACTAATGAATTTGAATTCCCCTTTTGTTTTCTTGTGAAGAACATAATTTGTTAGTTTAAATAATTCTTTTTTTTTTTAGTTATAGGTGGTTATGATATGAAAGAGACTGGGTCCTAGTTGTTACTATGAACATTTAAACTTATGTTCTTTTGCTGATGGGGACTAGTGGCCTCAATCAAAGAATGTTTAATTTGAAACAAATGACTACTTTGAAATTGGAACCACATGTAATTCATTAATTTGCCTATTGTCCTTTCCTGTCCTTTTTCCCAGTGTAAGAAATAGTACCCTTTACACTGGTAGCAGTTCAAAGTTATATGAAGAAGTAGAGTCTCAAGCTGTTTCAATAAAGATGGATTTGAGTCATCCCTGAGAGTTGGTAGGTATATCTCTTATTATGCCATTTGGTATTCTTGAGTTGCTATTTAGATAAGACATGACGTAAGGGAGAAGCATGTGTTTCTAGCCTGTAGAGAGAATGAAAAACCCATGTGAAACTTTAATCTTTAGTTTCTTGCCCTTAACAGCTTCTTTGTATTTTCAGACCCTCTTGCATAAGGTAAATAAAAAAGGGATAAAGGAGATAGCCCATCTGTTCTTTCTTTAAGAAAGAACCCTCGTGGATAATTTATTTTATTTTTCTAAGTGAATCTCCTGGATATTTTTCTCAACTACTTCATGAACTTTTTTTCTTTTGTATTTAGTATGTCCAAGATTCCTAGAAAAATAACTCATTCCTCTTCTTATCATTATTACTGAAGAAGTGATAGCCATTTCTTTCCTAGGGAAACAAGTCATTCTATGTCTTTACCCAGAACAAGGCTTTCTTTTAGCATATCAACATCTGGGTCTGCAGTAAACTGCTATTAAGAAGATTGTATAACTTTTGGGGCTGGGTCTCACCTTTCTGTATACCTTGCCTAGGATTTGAGAGATTAATTAGATTTTTTTTATTACCTCTGGATTTCTTCCTACTACTTTGGTGAGCTGTGTCTTTTCAACTGGACCCTATTACCAAGTAATTATTCACTCTCTCTGCCTTTATTGTCTACTATCTTTATTTTCCCTTTAAGAAATACCCGTTTTCCTTAGCTGTGTCTTTTACTTTAAGAAAAAGGAGGGGAAGGAGAGGGTAGGAAATTGAATATTTAGTCTTTCATAACTATAGGCAGGACTTGAGGAAAAGATTGAGGTTTCTGCCTAACTCGGAGTTCTCAATCTACTGAGGAACTTTATAGGGTTCCGTGTCCAGAGACTTTTTTGATGGAGTCATTCTAGCTACTAGGATCCTAACTTCTTGTTAGTTCAAGAAGGAAAATAATCTAACATTTATTGCTTGGTAACAATAGCTAAGATTAGAGCCTCCTTTGTACATAATTCATGTGAATTACTCATTTAACTTTTTAAAACCCTGTTGTGTAGTTGATATTTCGCTGCTTTTTATAAACTGGAAAAATGAATTTCAGTGTCAAAGGCCAAAAGCCAGTAAGTAGTAGAGTTGAAATACAAATCTAAATCTACTTGCAAAGTCTCTCCTAAATTTATAATGCTCTTCTATATTAGCAGATTTAGTAACATATTTAAAAGGGGGGTTGATTTTATTTTATGCCCCTAGATCTAGAATTTTATACTTTAGATCACAAATAATAATATATTATGAGCCCTGGACTAGGAAGCAAAAGACCATATTTCTAACCCCATCTGTGCTGCTTCCTACCAGTGTGGCTGTGTGTTAATGTAGAATTATCTATAAAATAAGGATTAAAATACTAGCCCTGATAGTTTTCCAGGATTGATGTATTATTTAAATTATACAACATATGTAAGTTATTATACATTTATAAGGCAATGATTTTGTTTTCACAACTACCATTTGGATGGAAAAACACTATTTTTGACTTGATTTATTGGGCTGAGAGGAAACTGGGTTCTTGTTTGAAGTTGCTATATAGTCAAAAGCAAGATGATACTGGTATGAATTTCTTAAGTATCTTTTTCTGAGAGTCTTTAGGGCAGTCAGTTATCTTTCTTTTGCCCCTTACTTTGGAGAAAACTTTACTTTTACTCTGCCATAAATAGATAACCATGGATATATTAACTGTGAAGGATGATTTATTTTCATCTTTAGAGAAACCTAAGTTACTTATCAAAACTTGTTTTTTCAAAGACACCTTGTGTCTGACAACTGTCTATATTTCTTTTCTCTGCAGCATAGTGTTAAGAATTAGGGTAAATTTCCTCAGATAGTTTCCTTCTTGACCTAACCCTGGGTTAGGAACTAGAGAACTGGACTTTATGTTTCCTATTCATTTCAGGATGCATGGATGCATTTGTTCCTCCCATATGTCATGTCCTTTGGAAAGTTTTTGAATTAAAAATTATTTCTAGTACTCCAAATGGTGTCATAAGAAAAATATCTTGGTACCTGCTGTCAGGAATGGATTATCAGATAAATGAGGTTACTGGCAAGTAATTGGGTTATTTACTTTGGGTTATGAGTTTTTACACAGTATATTGTAGAGATACTCATATGCCAAAAGAAGAAAATTCTAGCCTAGCTGCTACATATGTGCTGATCTTCTAAATCAGTGATTTTCAAACCTTTTTTTGCAAGGAACCCTTAAACCAAATGGATAAGACATACATATGTGTATCCTAACCACCCTGAACCAAGATTTGTAGACCAGAATACTAAACTATAATTAAAATGTGAAATAAAAGTGTTGTGATCAAACTTATATGGATTTTATTTTGTACATTTTAGACAATAATACTGAATGTATAGGTTGTTTCTGAACATCTACCATGTGATTTCTTTTTTAATTCTTTTTGTAAATATTTATTGAGTGCCTACTATATGCTTATCATTATTAGGTATTAGGGATTCAGTGATAAGGAAAAGATGTGATTTCTGCCCTTGGTAATCTTATAATGTAGAGGGGTTGTGTATATATAAGTAAGTAAACATTTACAGTATAGCATGGTAAGTACTATATTAGGGAAAATGTAGGGTGCTGTGAGAATACATGGGAGAGCATGTAACTGAAGAATTAAGGAAGGCTTCCTGGAGAAAATAATGGCTCGTTGAATCTTATCTACCAGGCAAATATATCATTTTATGTATTTTTTAAGCCACTCTTGATTTTATATGCAGGTCTTTTGGATCTATTTTCTGTTCAGTGTTTAATTTCCCTACATTAAAACCAGTGTTAACTGATTTTAGTTATCAAATCATTGTGGCTAAACTGAGTATCAGCCACAGTTTCCCCCCAAGTTGGAGTTTGACTGAAATTTGTCCCTGAAGCAAACCTAGTTTCTGAATTGTTAATTTTTATTCAAACATATTAGCATTTCTTTTCAAAAACTTTGTATATATCTGCAAGATATATAAACTGCAAACACTGATTGCTTTTAGAGAAGGAAACTACCTCTCTAGGAAGAGAAAGGGTCTTACTCCATTGCCCAGGCTAGAGTGCAGTGGTGCGATTATATAGCTCACTGCAACCTGGAACTCCTAGAATCAAGGGATCCTCCCACTCTTCAGCACACAAATTATAGTTTACTGACCCCTTGCTCTTGGGTGAAGATTTTGATCTCCGTGTATAAACTAGGTGCCTTTGTATTGTACGAAAGCCAGTAATAGCAGTTTCACTTTGGTCAGCTTCTCCCATATAAATAATCTGGGTCACAGATATAAAGTACTCAAAACTGAAAAAAAAAGAGCTCAAAGTGCTTTTGTCAATAATTAGAGGGGTTAAAAGTGTTAACTGAAAATAAAAACGGTATAATTAAATGTGTGCTTCTTAAACTGAATTATTTATGCCCTCAAGAGTAAGCTGCAGGAGTAAGCACTTCAAACATACTAATAAAAAGAAAAAAATGCTTACATGCTTTAAATATATAAGTATTCAGGCTGGGTGCGGTGGCTCATGCCTGTAATCCTAGTGCTCTGAGAGGCCAAGGCAGGAAGATTGAGCTCAGGAGTTCAAGACTAGCTTGAGCAAGAGCAAGACCCATCTTTACTAAAAATAGAAAGAAATTAGCTGGGCAACTAAAAATACATAGAAAATTAGCTGGGCATGGTGGTGCATGTCTATAGTCCCAGCTACTCAGGAGGCTGAGGTAGAATAATTGCTTGAGCCCAGACGTTTGAGGTTACTGTGATATATGTTTATATATTATGTGTATTTATATATACAAGTATACATATATGTGAACATATTTTAAGGAGCAAATTAGTGAGTCATATAGTGAGTTAAAAATGCATGTGTATTAGAGAGGCCTGTGTTAGGTTTCTGGCTCTCTTACCTGTATGACCTTGGTTAACTTTCTCAAATTCTAAGCCTTAATATACTCATCTGTATGATGATAATAATAGTATATATTTGAAAGGGATGTTTAAATGAAATAATGTACTTGAAGTCTACTTAGTGTTCATAATAATAGCTAGTATTATTAGAACATAAAATTTGAGTGAATTTTAAGGTAAAGTCTGCATTTCAGTAAAAATCTTAGCTTCTTATCTTGATATGCATAGTAAAAACCTGACACTTTCCCTCCACCCCATTTCCTGAGAAAGAAGGTAAGTAATGATGTTAAGTATGTGTGTGTTCTTTTTTTCTGTTAGGTATACTTCAGAGAAAAGTTTGAAAAACATGGAAATTATATAAATCATTCTTTTTACTAAAAATTAATAATAATATACACTATGATACATTCATCTGAAAATATAACATATACATACCAGTCTTTTTTTTTTTTTTTT